TTTACAAGAAAAGTCCCCATCAAAAAGTGGGCAAATAATATGAACAGACACTTCTCAAAAGAAGACATTTATGCAGCCAACAAACATATGAAGAAAAGCTCATCATCACTGGTTATTAGAAAAATGCAAATCAAACCCACAATGAGATACCACCTCACGCCAGTTAGAATGGCAATCATTCAAAAGTCAGGAAACAACAGGTGCTGGAGAAGTTGTGGAGAAACAGGAACACTTTTACGCTGTTGGTGGGAGTGTAATTTAGTTCAACCATTGTGGAAGACAGTGTGGTGATTCTTCAAGTATCTAGAACCAGAAATATCATTTGACCCAGCAATCCCATTACTGGGTATCTACCCAAGGGATTATAAATCGTTCTACTATAAAGACACATGCACACGTATGTTTACTGTGGCACTTTTCACAACAGCAAAGACTTGGAACCAACTCAACTGCCCATCAATGATAGACTGGATAAGGAAAATGTGGCACATATATACCATGGAATGCTATGCAGCCATAAAAAATGATGAGTTCATGTCCTTTGCAGGGACATGGATGAAGCCGGAAACCATCATTCTCAGCAAACTAACACAATAACCAAAAACTAAACACCGCATCTTCTCAGTCATAAGTGGGAGTTGAACAATGAGAACACGTGGACACAGGGGAGGGGAACATGACAGACTGGGGCCTATTGCGTGGTGGGGGCCTAGGGGAGGGAGAACATTAGGAGAAATATCTAATGTAGATGATGGGTTGATGGGTGCAGCAAACCACCATGGCACATGTATACCTATGTAACAAACCTGCACATTCTGTACATGTACCCCAGAACTTAAAGTATAATAATAATAATAAAACATTAAGTCAAAAAAATCTGGTTAAAACAATTACCTACAGATACTCAATTAAGTCAAAATAGGTATGATTTACAAATGATAAAGTTTTCTGATTCAAAGACACTATTTTTAACAACTCCTCTGGCTTCATTTGCTTTCATCATAGAAAAAGTATCAGTAAAGTAAGGAAGAAAACTAACTTTGGAATAAAAGTGGTTTCAAGTCCTTACACTATCTGAATGACCTCTGCAAGTCAATTCACTTCATTGATCCTGAATTTCTCTATCTGTCACACAATAAAGGTTAAAATTTTAAATGAAAAAAGAACCACTCTTTATACTATGAAGAAACATGAAAAACATAAGACTATTTTTGCTGCACTTCATAGTACAATACTATGAAGTGTATATATGTAGTACATATATACACTTATGTATATATAGTACAGTATAATACTATGAAGCAAGACACTGTGTCAGAAACTCAAGGGACCTGAAGTGAGGCACATATATATTCACACCTTTAAAGATCTTCAATTAAAAAGAGCAAGGTAAAGAATACAAATAATGATTCCACAAAGCAAGACACGTGTTTCTACTAAAAGAGGCGTACAGAAGCAGTGTACAAACACAGAGCAAAATACTTGTAAATGATCCAGGATATTTCCATCTGGACATATATTAAAGGACAAGTACCAACAAGCAAAAATAACTCACAGGAAGGGAGAAGGTATTATCTCAAGATGCAATGGATCCAAAACATGAAGAGAGGGAAGACATACACATTCATAAAGACATATGCATTTTATAAATCTGACGCTGAACAAGGGCCATGCCCAGTCTTCATATCCTGCTTTGCATTTGTATGATTTACATTTTCAAAAAGCATTGTGTCACAAAAAAATAATGAAACAGTTTTCTATAATCCTACTTTCATAATAAGGGGAAAAAACAGCAAATAAGAAAATCTAAGCAGGTATTTATACTTTATATCCAGGGGATTATCTGTGTTAGCCTAATTGTTGACACAGTACAATATAATAATCAATGATATGCAGGATAGTGACTCCAAGGAATTATAAGAGATGAATCATTAAAGATACATGGTACCTCTTAAGCCAGGAAAATGAACAAAGTACAGTAAGACTTTTTTTTAACAAAAGATAAAATTAGTCAAAAAGTTAATGAGAACATTTGATTTTCTGTTGCTCATTTAAAAATAATATATATTCGAATTTCTATTTGCTTTCCAAACTCAGTTACTACTAAAAGAAACTCTACAACAAACATGCATTTCTTACTACATTTATTTTTTTGTACTTCAGTTGAGCTTATTTTTACTTTAGAGATCTGTGTATTTCATTTAGCAATCTGCCTACAAATTATTCATTAATCAACCAATTCCTCAGTGCCTAAAAATACACAACTTCAAAAAGCACTGCTCCTAATTAGATCAAAATGAATAAGCTACGAAATTTGTATCCAAATAATTACTTAATCACATATACCTATTTAGTTACTTAAAAGCTGTTTTCATATTTTATAATTAGCAATAAAATGGTAAATAATATCAACAGAGCAATGATACAACTTCTTAAGACAGATTAATTCACATGGGGAGTCATTAAAAGGATATTTTTACATTACTTTAAGAGAAAGAATAGCATTACTGTTTCAAAATAATGAAGTGGTTGTTATTAAATAAATCTGCCATTTGCATGTAGTTCCAAATTAATAAAAATATATAAAACTGATAAAGATATATCCAATTACTAGATGGATATTCTCTTTTTAATCACTAAATCAATAGAGCAGGGCTTGAGGTATTGCAAGGTTTTCCCATAGTCTTTGTTGGTCCAGTTTTAAATTAAAGAGCATATGGTAGAGACTCATAAATTATTGGATTCTTTAGACAATATACATTACACTAATGCAGATTAGAAAAGCAAAAAGGAACTCTCAGGAACGTACTGTTTCCAGTTAAGTTTTTAGAAGAATGGAAAGAATTGATTATTGAGTTTATAGTAAACATTTAAACAACTGCCTCTGACCAGACTTAAAAAATTTTGTGATTTAAAGTTCTAAAAAGTGTTTTAGGTACATATAGCAGGAGCAAAAATTGGCCAAGGAAGAGTATTCCTTTAAACTATGCACAATTCCTTTCTATATTTAAATTTCTTATTAACTTCAAAAAGTTTAAAATAGGAAGAATAACTTCATACAAATAAATTTAATAAATGATATAAGGTTTCTTCAAAATAAATATGAAAGCTCATATCATAATATCAAGAAAAACTAGTATCTAATTAAGTGGAAAAGATTCCCTATAGGATAAATCTAAGGGAATGCAAGGATAGTTTACTATTAAGAAATCTATTACTGTATCACATAAAAATATCGAAGAAGTCCCAAGATCAAGTTAATCTTAATCATAAAATATATTGGTGAAATTCTACATTATAATTTAATTAAAAGAAATGAGACAAAATTCAAAACTTTAGAAACCAAGACTGGCAGGATTTTTCTGTAGCATTGATGTAGAATAATTCTCTCTAATAGACACCACTTAATGATAACATGCTGATAATTTCTCAATAATTCAAGTCTAAAACATGTAAGCAATTGTGTATAATTATTTTGGAAGAACTGGATAATTTAATAAAAATAAAATGAAACAAAGTACATTAACATTACAAAGATGGAGAATATAAATAAATCGACACAAGTCTAGAAAAAATATAACAAAGAATATAAAAAGATATATATTTAGTAATTATTAACCATAACCAAAGAGAAAATGAAATTGAAACAGATCTCAAACTATACTCACTGGCAATATCTGTAATGAGAAATGTACCATATCCATGTGGAAAAAAATATGGTTTTACTAGATATGATACAGAATAAACAAATGGAAAAGCTTACTATCTTCCTAGATAGACTGAGTATAGTAACATAATTTTTCTCAAAGTAATTTATAATTTAACATAATAGCAATCTAAGTCTGACCCAAATTTAAATGGTCAGTTTAAATTGAGCAAACACATCTCAACGTATATGTAGTATACACAGAAATAGTTAATTAACATTTTAGAGGAAGGTGGAAAGTAAATGATAGGCTTATTTTTACTCAAAATTAAGACATAATACAAAGTTACAATAAGTAAAGTATAATTTAGGAATTGAAGCAATTTGGACAGTTGGTGCTACTTTAAAATGTCTACAAATCAATAAGATACACTCTAGTATAGGTGGGCAATCAATCAGATTCAATTAATTAACAAAATTATAGACATATCATTAAACTTACTAATGTTCAAAGAAACACAAAATTTTAAAAAGGGTAACAATTTTCACTTATTAAATTAGTGATTAGTTTTGAAAAAGCCAAATACCCAAACATGAAAAATAGGGACAGTCTTCATTTTTGTTAGAAGAATACAATCAAATTCATTTGATAACATGAGTCAAGAGCCTTAAAACTATTAATACTTACAACTTTAGATTAAGTATTTCTGCTCTCTCAGACCCTGACCTAAAGATTTAATTCTAAAGACAGATGAAGGTTTAAACCCTACAATATTAATTTTAGCCTGATTATAACATAGTGAAGCAACAATGCACACCTTTACCAACGAAGGACTGGCTATGCACAGAAAGGAGGATCTGTGGCTACTACTGTATATGACCACCAAGGTTGTGCACTGTGTAACTTGAGGCCCCAGAAAAAAACATTAAGCCTTCCTAGATCCCGACAGTAGAAACTAAGGCTGAGGCACATAGGTTAATCAACTGGGATTTTTTTGTCAGATAAGACACAGTATCTCATATATGAAACAATGTTGGTAAGAATTCTTGCCCTCTGTTACCTCAGTAAATCACTGGCATTATGAAGCAAGTATTACCATCTCCATTAAAAAGCCTACATGTCATACAGACTTTCAGACAGTCCATGCCCTGAATAGCTTGAAATTTTGCGAATGGTAGAAAGTTTTATAAAGCAAACTTATATCATAACAGGCCTGGGGAAAAAGCTAGCTTGAGGATTTTAAATACACACTTTTATTAATTTAAATGTATTTCCTTATTTGATGAGAACACAGTTTTATTTGAAGACATTGAGATAAAGCAGTTGAAGAAATGCTACTCCCTTATGGATTACCTGTGATGGTGCAAAACCAGACATGTGAAAAGCTGAAAACACAAGAGGCAACTCAGCCTTCAGTAGCATTTCAATATAATGGGTGCTGCAAAAATATACTGGATGGATGCCAGAGTCTACAGTGTCAATAGGTAGGTAACTCTGCATAAAAGAGAAAAATTAAAAATTAAATAATAAATACACAGATCATTTAAAATAATCCAACATACCTATTTTCCTTTTGCTGTAAATTGCTGCTTCAAAATTAATATGGTGGCATAACAAATTACTGTAAATATTATAATTACGTAAAGTAAAAAGTCAGAATGTTAAACAGTGTTGAAAGAAGAAATTTTGATAAAGGCAGTGTTATATACCTTCCAAGACTCAGGAATAGAGTTAATAATTTATAATTTTGGCAACTTAAATCCTTGTGGAAAGATGAGGGCTGTTACATGAAAGAATAAATACACGTGTAAGTGAGTACACGAGTAATATTTTACATTTTAATACTAAGTGTATTGAAATATGCTTAATATTCTTGGCTTTGGCCAATGATTCTATAATGTCAAAGGATTTTAGCTTTGTCAGCTCTTGAAGATATTTGCACTGTCCCCTTTACTATGTTGATATTAACCTAAATCTGACCCTGAATTAATGATAATTCAAATTGGGAATGATATGAGAAAGTCATCTCTAAAACTGGGAAAGAAGTGCACAAGGCATTCCCATCAAGGTTCTCAGGCCAACTATTTTGTATAAAATTTATGTTTATTTTTATATAATTGTATATTGATAGTTACTTTTATTTTATATATAGTACATATGTATGTGAATATATACACACATATATATTTACAAACATGTTGTTTATTTTTTCAATTTAGATCTTAGGTACAATTTATCATTGCAAATGATCAATAATGAACTAGGTATTACCAAAAATTTGACATATACCCATAATAATTGTTTTTTAACAAAGAGTAATAAACCTGAAGGTATAATTTTATGAAAAGAAAAACTGTTCAACTAGCAATTATATCAATAAAAACATTAATCAAATTAGATCTGAACATTTTACATAATTCAAAGACTGTCAAAAAGGTATCTTATCTTCTTGCTTTTACTGGACAAATCTTATTTTCAAACTTTTTAAATAAAATAAAGTTAATACTTTTAACTTAAAACAAATTAAACTCATAGCAATTATATGAGTTGAAATATGGAAGATTTCTTTAAAGCCTTATTGCTAATGCTAGGATGCTTTTAAGAATTTAGGTTTGAGTTATACACTGAAGTTTCTGAAATCAGCAAGTTGATTTACAGTGGATTTTCTGTTTTATCATTCATCACCATAAATGATTTATTATTTCACATTCCAGAAATACATATTTGTAGAAACATAAATATTTATGTAAATGTATATTTATGAAGGGTTCTCCCAGAGATACCTCACAGTACTTGAAAAAAACATTATTTTTGTGCATTAATGAATGAAGAGATAGCACAGTAAATGGATATCTTGTAGCCAACTTTGTATCGATATGTAGGACAAAAACAAAACTTTAATGAGTCATTAAAATAATAATATGGACTGAATGAGAAATAGTACCCATTGCTTTATCTTCTTTTGTGAAATACTGCAATGTGCTTCACTAATGATGATTTATAGAATGAGCAAATTTAATAAGCATATATGAAAACAAAAATCAACTCATAAATACATTTTAGTTTTTCCATGCAAACTTAAGTAATAATTTTCTGATTACATGTCTGCTAGTAGTATAAGAGTTCTACGTATAGGAAATGATTCATATACCGGCCACATTAGAAATACCTTTAGAGTAGGTCCGTTAAGAGATACAGACAATAGATTTATTAATTATATTTTCAAGGAAAATAAGTCATTGTTATGTAATGGACTCCCTATATTGAGGCAAGAGTTCTTCTATTCTTATAAATTAGACTCTGTTGGAAGAAATTTTGCCATACTTTGTGGTAACACAGCTCCTGATACCAAGCCTTGCATAGAATAGTTGCTCAACATATTCTTGACTGAATGCTAAAAAGAGAAGATGCTAACGATTACACACACAGATTGCACAGTATGCAATTATTAGTGTCTTTTCTTTTTGTCATACAGTAAGCTCGCTTATATAAAAGTTTCATTAGTTGATCTATTAATTACCATTTCATGCCTCTATTTTACAGTAAACATTGTTCATAAAACCAGATCAATAGTGACAGCTCTGAGTCACATGAATATAACACAAGGTCTTCTGAATCATCAAATGATAAATTGTTTATTATACTTAAAGTGTTTTGATGTAATTTGTTTAGTCACCACTCTCTGAAAGGACAGTAACTCTTTATCATTCAGAATATCGGATTAATGGAACATATGCAGGACAACAGCATTTAGCATCATCTAATTAATAATCTAATATATAAACTATGCTAAGACAAAGTGCAAAAAAATTGTCAATAAAAACATTGGCTTTGTGGATCCTAGAAAGTGACATAACATGAAGCAAGGACTTTACAACATAACACTCTTCAGAATACTGTATATTACTTTAGTGATTAATAAAAGATTTATGTTTAAAAATAAAACATAGTGGTCTTAGTTTTTTTTTTCTTCCATTGTAGGTCTTTTGATGAGTCATTTTATTCCTGATATTAAGAAAATAAACTAGTTCTACATTGCTATGAAAATTAAATAGAAAGACCCCATTAGAAAGATTTGAAACTCTCCAATTCAAACAGATTCAGTCTAGTCTGGTCCAGCCTAATCCTCCACCTTTCAGACTTTGTGGGCAAAAAAGATGTGCCATGCTTTACAACAACGTTGTAGTTAACTTGTGCATCATGCATAGGGGTAAACAAAAAATTTTGCAGATTTTTTAAAGCTTTGATTCTATAATTCTAGATAACATCAATCTTTCTCCTGTCAGAAAAAAAAAAAAAAAGGGAAAACTGAAATCTGCAAATATGATTAAGACTTACAGTCACATATAAGAAAAGGAAGAGGTTTTACACTAGACATCTTTCCTACAAGTGATTGGTCACATGGCTTACATTTGTTGATATTCTACAAAGGGGTTACAAGTATGTCATGCCATTCTACTAACTGTAAAATTTAAATGTAAATTTATACTTGAATACTATTAGAATTTTTAAATCCATGAACTTTCTGAACTAGGTAATTGTTATTTTAAGAAGAGTAAGGGAGGGCTTCTGTAGTGGTTACCCTATAACTATTGCATGAATTTCCTGTTGAACTATAGTACTTCATTTGAGTATTCGTTTAGCCTGATTTATCAGTGGAGTTTTGTTTGTATATGCATGTAAAATACTCTGGTTTTTATTTCAGTTTAATTAGGTTTCCTTTTTCATATGTTTTTACAGAGAGAGGAAATTTATGATCATTACTTTTATTTATTCTTTGAAATTACATATTTCTACTATGAAAATAATCTCCTCATTTTTCTTAATATATCATTTTATTAATGGCTTCATTGTTAACAACTGGTCAAACTCTGATTCTTGATCAAACTCCATAAAGAATAACTATTTCATCATTTAGAAAGATTTTTTCTTAGTAGCAAAGAATAATTGAAGATAGTTTAAATCAATACATTAACGGGTTCTTCTGGTGTAAATGATTTCGAAAGATAATTTTTCAAACTATTTTTATCTCATATGAGTAATATAATCATAGTTTACAAAATTTTAAGAACTTCAAATTAATGTTTCATTACTTCCTGTTTTGCTTATCCTAAGCTTATTTTTTTTAAACCTTTTTAAGGTCATTTGTTTAAAACATTCTTATGAATGCAGGGGATCTAGTATCTTTCAAATACATTTTCTAAAATAAAAACTTACAGATCGTTACATATTTCTACTAAAATATTAATGTACGTGGCTCACAACTGTAATCCCAGCACTTTGGGAGGCCGAGGAGGGCAGATCATGAGGTCAGGAGATAGAGACCATCCTGGCGAACACGGTGAAACCCGGTCTCTACTAAAAATACAAAAAATTAGCCGGGCATGGTGGTGGGCTACCCAGCCGGGTAGTCCCAGCTACTTGGGAGGTTGAGGCAGGAAAATGGCGTGAACCCGGGGAGGTTTTGGAAGCCTGCAGTAGCCCGAGATCATTGCCATTGCACTCCCAGCCTGGATGACAAAGAGATCTGGTCTCAAAAAAAAAAAAATATATATATATATATTATATATAATATATATAAGTATATATAATAAATTGTGCCCACACTCCAACAAAACCATTTATTGAGTGATTACTATGGGCCAATAGTTTGGGACACATCTATGAACAAAACAGAAAACTCTTTTCAAAGAACTTACATTAAGTGTATAGATAAATAAATATTAGGACTTGATATAGGCTATAAAAATGTTAAAAAATAGGACAGGGTAATGAGGTTGAGGTAAGTGGAATTGAGGAAATAGGCTGATTTCTTTTTAGGTTGATTACAATAATGTGAGTTTGAGTTAAAGAAGGTAGACAAGTTTGTACTAATTAACAGCTAAAGCCAAAGTGTCTGTCACCATGTTGCATATTTGTTCATATTATCAAGTTGCATAGAAATTATCACCACAATGTTTGAGACAATGGAACAGATGAAATAGAAAAGGTATCACTTTTAAATAATATATTAAGACTTATTGAATGCACTATCAAGTCAAGTGACATAGGGGAAATAGCAATTCAAAAGTTTGTAAGTCAGAAACATTTATACTGTCATATAAATGTAAGACATTAGTAGCAGCACTTAGCTAACAGTTCTAGATAGAATTACTGCAGAGGAATCTTAACAGCATGTCATTTGTTTTACAAAGAAGCATCAAAACAAACTACTGGTAATAAAATTCAACTTGATATATTTGTAATTGAAAAGAAAAAATGATGCTATGGAAGGCACTGCATTAAGTCTTCACTGACAGTATAGCTGCATCAGTAGAAAGGTGTCAAGGCTTTACATCAAGAGATCATTCTGAAAACCCCGAGCCAGTAATGTGTCACTCCCTTCCATTCACATATTCCATATTCAGTGATGCTATCAAAATGGTAAGTCAAATAAAATTCAAGCTGCTAGAGTCCTGCTTGTTTTCAGCTTTACTGAAAGAAATGCTATCAGAACACAAGATCATCGATGCTATGAAAAAAAATAATGTACTATTTTATAGGCTCAAAGTATAAATAGAACTTTAGAAAATTATGGTTCAATATGATTCACTGGTGATGTTTAGATGGTGTCATAATCTGAACACTAAAGGCAGAACTGTTAAGACTAGTGGAATGCAGATATTGCTTTAAAATATTTGACAGGAAAATGAATGATTGGACACGAAATCCATACCCATTATCAAAAGATTTTCAACACTACATCTGAAAATGAAAGAGTGAAAAGGCTGTTAGGTTTTTTAAAATCTTCAACTACAGTTTAAAGGAACAGAATTACTCAAATTCTGGTTAACAGCAGCAAAATAGTTTCATTGATTGGGGAAAAACCAGTGCATACTTTTTTTGCCATTTGTTTCCCTCTATTCATGGGAGGAAAATTTCTCATTATGGTGAAGACCAATTACTGGATGATCTTTTTAAGTAACTGTACATAGCTACTTGAAGCATAACATTATAAAATTTTAATATTTAATGAATTCCATGATGAATTAATTTTATATTCCTTATCACAAATATATATTGTAAAAAACACCTAATGAATATTTTCATCTCCACATAGATACTCGCCAATCCCCTTAGTTTATCCTTGACTGCCATGTGATTTCACTGTCCAAATGCAACATGTCATGGAAAAGGTTTGAGAAACATTAGCATAGCTGATATGTTTGGCAGTTTCCCCTAGTTGGAAATCTTAACAACAGCCTATAAATAAATAAAATAAACATAAACATTATAAATTGATTGAGGGATATACTTACCTCTAAAGTAACCTCTGAGATTGCATAAGATTAGTACAATCTTTTAAAATACATTACAATACTTTAAAAAACACTCAGTATAGATTTCCAAAATATACATAAAATGAGTGATTCTCTTATTCTATAGAAAATAGTTACAATATCTTCCTAATAAATGATTTTCTTATACCATAATCAGCCAGAGATTCTTTCTAACCAAGCAATGATACAAAACACCAATTCAATAGTTCTCTTTTTACGTGCAGAATTTAACTGATATAACTATCATTTTTATTTCATTACTATGTTTCTACTTCATGAAAATGCTTCTAATATAAATCATTCAGTTACTATTAGGTAAGACACCAAGTATTTGAGAAAATGTCACATCTACATAATCAAAGAGAATCAGTCAAAAAACATTCAAGTAGAAAAATGAGTATAATTTATGACAAAGTCCTTCAAATACAATAACACCCCAGTGAATGTAAGTATAATGTCTCTTAAAATTTCAAACCCTTTTTTAAAAACAGATTAAAGTCTTACAGAAATATGTAGTCTTGGCAACCAAAGGAAAGCAGAAGTCAGAAGCCTGGAGAATTGACGAAGAAATTGGAATGTTTTTTCTTTGTCTCCCAACATTATCATGAACAGAGAAGATACAAACCAGTCATGGCCAGTATAATTCCCTTGCAGGCAGACTGAAAAACTAAGTTAAGAAAACTTCACAATATTTTGTAAGACAAAATATTAAAATTCTATAAATAAAATACAATGAATATGTTAAACAAAAAAGCAGACATTCTTATTCTGAGTTTATGAAACCTAGTTTTTAAATATTCTTAGATATGTCTGAAAATACATTCTAATCACTTTATTCAGTTTAAGATTCAATGAGTAAGACTAAATATAATGATTACAACTCAATTTAACAAAATTCATATTTAAAATACAGAATAAAATACTGTAAGAATATATCATAACAAATCACTAATATAGCTCAATGTACTATTTTACTATAAATGTGTCCAGGTATACCATCAAAGAATCATGAAAAACGTGTGAAAAAAATTAAATATTGTGAATCTACTCAAAAAGGATACGAAGAGAAGATTTTATGGAAGTTTGCTGCTGTTTCAGAAATCTCTCACAATGCTTTAAAACCAAGGTAAGATCATTTTCTGCACCATCTTTTAAGAGATTGAGGAATTTGCCATACCTATATTAAAAGCCCACAAAACATAAAAAATATCAGGTCTTGCAATGAATGTTTTAAAATTACTTCTTTTAGCATAACTATGTTATACAGAGCACTTATGAAAGATTAGCTCTCAATATATGTATCTGATGATTATGACATATTTGGATTAGCAGTATTCATCTGGCAAATACAGATAACTTTAAAGGAAGATGAAACAGTAATGAGAGAACAAAATGATGATATCCTGTAGATGAAAAGTATAATATAAGCATTTTTTCCTGAACTGAATCTAAAATATGGAATGTTGACAGGTTAGTTTTACAAAATGTTGAGTGTAGAAGTACCTGTAGAGTTCATACAGTAATGGTCCTAAAGGGAGGTGGTACTTCCCTCAGGGGCCACCTTGGAAATTTGTAGGACTATTTTTCATTGTCATAGTGATCGGGGGGCACTACTGGTACTTAATGAGCAAGGGTCAGATGATTAGACATGGGACAGTCCTGAACAATAACTTGCAAATGTCCTATTTGTTACTGGTATGGATGAAAAAGTTGTTTAGAATTATCTGAAACTAATTGTCTTGAAAAAAAACTTCTGTATTTTTTAGTATATATACAATGCAACTATGTGTAAATCAACCAAAGGTAGTGCTTTTGTACTTCTGTACTTTTGAAACCTTACTAATATTTGCTCATCACTTTTTAAAAAGTCTCTTTGGGCCAGGTGTGGTGGCTCACGCCTGTAATCCCAGCACTTTGGGAGGCCAAGGTGGGTGGATCACGAGGTCATGAGTTTGATATCAGCCTGACCAACATGGTGAAAACCCGTCTCTACTAAAACTACAAAAATTAGCTGGGCACGGTGGCATGCATCTGTAATCCCAGCTACTCAGCAGGCTGAGGCAGGAGAATCGCCTGAACCCAGGAGGCAGAGGTTGCAGTGAGCCAAGATCGTGCCACTGCACTCCAGCCTGGGTGACAGAGCGAGATTCTGTCTCAAAAAAAAAAAAGTCTCTTTGCTCGTGGCAACACTGTAGTATTTGAGGAACAAAATCAAAAATTCGTCTGTATTTGTAGCTGCCAGAGTCACAATGATTTTACATTTGGATGCCAGTTACATCTTATACTGTAATATATTCAAACATTTCATAATAACTTTCTGTTTATTTCTTACAAATAAGATATTATATTGAGTTAAAAAAAAAGGTGACTAGCCTGCTTATATTATCTACGAAGTCCATTTCAGAATAGCAATAGGGCATTATAAAATATTTGTATAAAAAGCAGGCACAGCATCACAAAACATAATTAACAGAATCATATGCCCAATGTGATACAGACGTGTAAGTTCAAATTATTAAATAATATCATTTTCATCATGTTGTGAATGTATAAAAATGCTCGGCTTTTTAAATAAGTCTTACATGTATCTTTTTAAAACTTGATTCTGAAGATGACTCTATAAGTAAAATGGGAATGTTAAAATCCCCATTTAATAAGCAAGAAAGGAAGTTTCAAGGTTTCAGTCCTTAACTCTCTGTTCACTGTTTAGCTTACCCATTTCTTTTCAAAATTACAACTTGAGTATTAAAAACTCAAACTGCAATAAGTTTTTTAATTTTAACTTCTGAATCTGTCCTTCAGGTACTTTTGTACTCATCACCATGGAATTAATCATATTCTGGAAAATAGTATGACTGTGCTACCAATGTGCTGACTTTTACAATGTTATTTTTGTAAAAAACCTGATAGTCATGAGAGCTTAAACACACTGTAATTGGCCTCTGGAATAACAATGAACTGTAACTGATTTACCTGTAGAGGTAATTTAATCATGTGCCAATATCCTCAAAAACAAAGTCATTTTCCAAATGATAAACTCCACATTTAAAGTATACAAAATAGTTGGTTGTTAAATTAAATACTACTGAGCACATATGAGGCAGATAAAGCAAATTCTAGAAATGCACAAGGGAGATATTTCCCTATAATATACCTGACAGTCATTTTAATGCCAAGCTGCTGCACAGATGAAAGGCTTTCATTCTTCACATTTGCATCAGTAGCTAAAGACAACAGAAAACTGAGTTATAAAGTGTATAAAAGTTTGCATAATAATCACAGTTTAATTGAAAATTGATGAAAGCAATATTTTTACATATTTTAATGCGAATTTTGAAAATACTGATGAATTCATTATTTTAGGAACTGTCAGTTACATTTTCCAAGGAATTAACAGAAAACTTTTTACAAATAACTTTTTTCCCATAAAAAGTGTTGGAAAGCATATTAAATACAAAACAATGGTAGTTTTGAAACAATCTACTTAACTTGACTCTCAGAACAAGAAGAGGCATTGACCCAAAAAGTGATCTAGAAATACTACTTTCATCATGCAATATATACATAAAACTTTGAATTACAAATATATACAAGCATGGTTATTTCCTTCCTGACACTAATCTTTAAGTAATCAGTGTTCTACTTTTAATGTATGATAACATATGAGGGTAGAATGAATGAATTTCTTCCTGCAAGCCAAGTTTTCTTTGTAAAGTAGTTGTTGTAATCATCTAACCAAAAGTGAAGAAGGGGTTAGTTATATCTTATATTGTAATATATCCAAACATTTCATAAAGAATCACTTTTCATTTATTTCTTACAAATAAGATAGTGATTAGCTTGCTTATATTATCTACAAAGTCCATTTCAGAATAGAAATAGCATAGTACAGAGGACTGCAGGAGAGGCTGAAAGTCTGGATTAGTTCTTGAGAACAGCAGAAGACCAAACTGGGAGTGAACCCTCAAAGGCACAACTAAATAGCATTCAGGGTCCAGCTGAACTTTCAACTTCTGGCTGAGAAAACTGTAGTATGCATACATACACACAAACACATGAATACACAATGCATGCACACACAATTAAGAGACTCATCACACAGTTATCTAGTGGTAGAGAAGACCAAAACCTAGGTTTTCAGAATATCATGAGGTTTTTTTATTTTATTTTTTTACTTCATTACACATTGGTGTTTCTCATACTATCCATATAATCTATTTCACTTCCAGGCTCATTCATCCCCTTAATAAATCATCTCTGATATAGTAAGTGTGGAACACCATGCAAGAAGCTATGAGGGATAAAAGATAAATCATACCTCATTCCCTAAAAAACTTTCCATGTAGTGTCAGAGATCAAATGTGTGTATAGATAACTCTGATAAAGGTATTTTAAAGTCCTATATGAAATAGGAATGATACAGATAAAGTGTTACATGAATTCAGAAGATGAGGAGATTATGTCTAGTTAGGAAGAAGTGGCATTTAAGTTGAACCTTAACATATATAGATGTGCATGCTTATAGTAATACTAATGTTTTTTCCCTCTGGAAAGTACGATATAGATAGCTATCTTATTGGTAAAGGATGAGTGCGCAGTGGGTGGAGACAGGTGTTAAGAATGGGCATTCCCATCATGATGTGTTCCATGGGCCACAGTGGATTGTATCAGGAAGCACTGACCTAACACATCAGTGAAGAATATAATAAAGTTACGGAGCAAGGTGAGAGGAGTTGTCCAAAGGAACTGGATGCGTTAAATAATGAGAAGGTTGTTTTAGTTCTTCCCTGTGAAAGAAAAGAGTTCTTACATAGTGGTCCAGTTGTGAGGCCTGAAATGAGTCCTTTCACTTTTCTAGAGTTGTACAAATAATTTCCAAGGTCTAGACCCTATCTAAAACTTTATGAGACTGTATCTTCAGAGTAAAAAAATAACTCTACACATTTCAACAGATAATGATTCTTAACTATGGCGGTGCATCTTCTGAGGAACTTTTCAAAAATAAAGATAAATAGACATGACTCCAGACTACTAAATAAGATTGCCAAGAGGGTATGTGCAGTCATTTGTATTTTTAAAGACCTCTACAGTTTATTTCTTACACAATAAAGTTAAGATTTACATTTAAAGGAACAAAAGTTAAATTTAGATATAGTTACAATTGGATAGTTACACAACATTATCCAAATTTCACTTTAATGTAGTGTAGCAAATTCTCAAAAAAGCTTTTAAATGAGAATATATGGAGGTGTTGGCATACCAAAACAAACACCAAATATCCATTTTCAAAATTCACTGATGTGAAAGAGATGTAAATAACTTTTGAATGAGCAAAACTATGGAGATAAAAATATGGAAGGAATAAAAACTTTCCCAAAGGAGGAATGAAGATATAAGAAAATGGGTTAGGAGCATATATTTAAAAATGGGCTCCAGGCCAGGCATGGTGGTGCAAGCTTGTAATCCCAGCACTCTGGGAGGCTGAGGGGGATGGATTACCTGAGGTCAGGAGTTCAAGACCAGCCTAACCAACATGGTGACACATCATCTCTACTAAAAATACAAAAATTACCCTGGCAGGTGGCACATCGTAATCCCAGATATTGGGGAGGCTGAAGCAGAAGAATTGCTTGAACCTGGGAGACAGAGGTGTGACTGGGCTGAGATCATGCTGCTGACCTCTAGCCTGTGTGACAGAGCGAGAGTCCATCTCAAAAAAAAAAAGGTTTCCATTTTAAATTGTATGATATTTGATATACAATATCAATATACAATAAATCACTGTATA